GTCCGTCGTGGGGTTGGGACTAGCGGGGCTGCCTACCCGCTCTGGGATCCCATCCTCGTCGCCAATTGTTAAGTCCAGTGCTTAACAAAATAGTCAGAGAATGATTTCAGCAAAACTCAGGTTTATTTCAGCTCGACGATCACTTCTCTAACACGGTACAACTTCTGATAGCCTGAACAGCTTTTCCATTGCAGCTGCTCGGTATTTAAACATTCCGGGCTAATGTAGCCACACCTACTATACAATTATCAACCTATCAGGTTGAGCGCATAATGGACCAATCAGAGTCTTTCCCGCTTATATACATTTGAACCTGATTGGCCGCTTAAGTCTTGGACTTCAATCCTTGTTCAAGACGAAGCTTAACATAGCTTCCCAATTAGGTGTTTCACAATACACTTTAGGTATTCCTGGCAGCTTCAGAATACACTACACTAACACATGGCCTACGATATGATGGTGGTTTTATTTAGTTTCAGTGTAAAAATCATATGAATTCATGAGGATCCATTTAGATCCGACTTTTACCCAGACCCCAAATTTAGAGTCCAGTGGCACCTTTAGGACCAACAAAGGTTTATTCAAGGTATGAGCTTTCATGTGCAATGTACACTTTTTCAAATTTGAAAAAATGTGCCTTGAGCAGGAAAGCTCTTACCTTGAATAAACCTTTGTTGGTCTTAAGGGTGCCACTGGACTCTAAATTTATTCTAACGATAGTTTAAGAATGCAAGGAAGGTGCAGCCACAATACATGGGTGTAGGAAAGGGATTTTGATAAGACTGGTATGGCACAAACGAATCATAATCGCCTTACAATGAGGAGCCTATAGTGGGTTCCTCAATAATTCCTTATTCATTCTCAAAACGGCGTCAGTATGCTTGCCAGTTCCTGGAGATTTGGCAGTGGAGTGTATTGAGGGAGGGGTTTAGGAAGGGAAGGACCTCAACAAGGTATAATGCCAGAGATTTCACCCTCCGAAGCAATAATTTTCTCCAGGGGAACTGATCTCTGTAGTCTGGAGATTAGTAGTAATTTTGAGGATTTCCAAGTCCCACCTGGAGGTTGGCAACCCTAAGCGTCAGAGAGACCGAGACCGTGCTGCAGTTGCGAACCGCATAAACACACACTAAATGGCTCCTACCACAATCCCATTTAATATAACCCAACGAGAGTCCTGACAACAGAGGACGCAACTGAACGCAAAAGCCCCTTCAGGCAGGACGGAGCCTTTTCAAAGGCAGCAGGCGCGGCCTTTCGGTCCTTTGTGTTCCTGTGACGTGTTTATGCTGCGTCAGTAGTGCCACTTCCAAGATGGCTGCCGGAGAGGTTTGGCGACCCGGAAGGTTTTTTTTGGCGAGTTGAAGAAAATGGCGTGGACTTGCTGTCCCCGTGTTTGGGTTAGACGGGAGTTATGGTGTAGTGGAACTCGGTCACGTAGGTACGATAACGCACCCCCTTCCGGAGGAGGCCGGTGGAGTTCTGGGGAACGAGTTTGGGATGGTGGACGAGGACTCCGTGGGCTAGCGGCCTTTAAAAGCGCTGCGATTTTGTCCAGAGCGTGGATGAGTAATTGCAACAAGATTGATTCTTTTGATTCTAGGTTTCCTAGACGTCATATTCTTAAGTAAATAGGCCCATGGTCGGGATTCAGATTCTACGCCTCTTTCCCCCTACCCCCCGATATAGGAAAGCGTGAGGAATATGAGAAACTGAGTGAAGGTGTTGAAGGGCTCATGCAGGCGTGGTTTAACTTTGGTAAAAACTGAGGAGGCTCCCCAGAGAAGAAATGTGAGCAGAAGTGTTATGAATCAAATGACCCGGGGCGGGGGGAGTTGCTCTGATCCTTTGTTCCCTTCTCATCAATTCTTGCAATTTGGACATTCAGATCTAGGCATTAGAGGTCCTGAATTTGTATAGTTTTTCTGAGTGAAAAATGGCAATGCAAATTTGCCCACAGATTGAACTCAGTTTCAAGGTTGTGTATCCTTGGGCCTAATCTGATCAAAGATACATGAAAAACGTTGCAGTTATTCACAATTAATTACGCAACTTAAGTCGTACTGGGGCATGTTGTGAGACGTGTGTGTATTATGTGCCATTAAGATTTCTCATTTATGAGGACCCTATGAATTAATAACCTCAAAAATGTCCTATCATTAACACCTTTCTTGGGTCTTGCAAAACGAAGGCTATGACCGCCTTTATTTAGTCAATCCGTCTCACGTCAGGTCTTCCTCTTTTCCTATTGCCTTTAACTTTTCCTAGTGTTTTGGTCTTTTTCAGTGTGAGAGGATGATATTTTTGTTGGGGAGGGGAAATATATGGGCCAAAGGAGAATAGGACTAAACGTTTTATTTTAACAAGGAGCTCATAATGAAGAAGCAAAATGAACAAGCCACTTTCTCGATATTCTTATCTTAATGCAATTTAGTGTTATTTTTTCTACTTGTTGGATGCTTTTTATAAAGAATCATTTTAATACTTTCTAGTGAATTAATATAAAACATTTGTCTTTGTGTGCTGATGTTATGGGAGTGTGTGAGCAGTGGAGCAAAGAAAGAAATTATTTAGCCAAGGTCGGAGGCTGACCGCAAAGCTCTTATTTTATCTAGAATGTGTTCTTTAAAGGTCCTTTGATGGTGATGTGGGTTAACGTTTGTTTTCATGCTTTTCAAGATTCATTCTTGTAGCTCTTTGCATCTTGAAGTAGTGAAAATAACATTTAAAAAAATTATATGTGGCAAAGCTAGATTCTAGTAATGGTCTCATGACTTTACAGGGCTCAGCAGATCTTTTGAAAGTGTACTGTACTTATAAACATAGAGATTTCCTGTTAAGCGATCTCATGAGAACCATCAGGTGAAAAGCAGGATTACAAATGTATAGGTGAAAATGATGATAGTGTCAAGACAAATAGAGTCCTGTAGTATCAGCTGAACCCAGAAGATGTATTTCTTTGGTAGCACCTTCATCATTTAAGACAAAAAAAACCTGACCTACACAGTCACACTCAAAGTTAAAGAGGCAGATGAAGCTTTTGGAATGTTAGGACATTGCAGAGCTGGAGAAATACAGAAAAGGGCAACTAAGATGCTTACGGGGTTCAAGCACTTTCCCTATGATGAAAGGCTGATGAGTCTGAGACGTTTCAATTTAGAAAAAAGATGACTGAAGGGGTGGGACATGATAGAGATTTATAGAATTATGCATAGGGTGGAGAGAGCTGACAAAGAAAATTTTCTCCCTCTCCCACAGTCCTAGAACGTGAGGGCGTCCAGTGAAGCAGATGGGTAGTAGATTCTGAATGGACAAAAGCAAATACTTCTTTACACAGAAAGTTATTAAAATGTGAAATTTACTGCCAGAAGATGTACTGATGGTCACAGGTATAGATAGCTTTAAAAGAGGATTAGATTCATGGAGGAAAGGTCTGTCAGTGTCTACTAGCCATGGTGACTGAGAGGAATTTCCATGTTCAGAGGCAGTCAACCTCTGAATCCCAGTGCCAGGAGGCAACATCAGGATAAGGTCTTGGCCTTTATTCCCTGCTGTTGGCCCTCCAGAGGAACTAGTTGACCACTGGTCTGATCCAGCAAGGCTCATCTTATGTTCTTATGAGTGCCTGAGAAGATTTTTTTGTCCAACAAAGAAAATGGTGTTTCTTCATAAGCAGGAGACATTTAAAATGAGTTCGTTTTGTGTTTGCTATGTATTTCCTTGCTTAGATCTACCTTGTATATACAACAAAGAAATGGATTCAGAAGACCAGCACAGAAGAGTGATTTCCAAAGGCCTAACTCAGGAACCAGTACCAAACCACAGAGAAGTGGTTTGTCTCCTCCGGTAGAGAATGTAGTCTTTCCCACACCTTCCCATTCAGTGAAGAAGCTTGTGAAGCCATTCTTCTTCACAGTTGGGGTAATAATGCTTTCAGTGTGTTACATCATGTTAACAGCTATCCTCTGTCACTGACACAATCAGATTTATTAAGAGGAAATATATAATTATATACAGAACAGGGCTTCCTGGTCATACAGAGGTTGGATTTTGGCAGACAGAGCCAAATGGTGTACAAAGTAGTATTGTCATAATTATCCAGCCTATGGAAGGCACAGGACGCTTATACCAAACAGAGTCTGGCAGTTATGGAGGTTGTAGTTCACACTTAAAGGCCAGAACAACAGTTCAGTAAATAGAGAACTGTTGAGTGTTTTTGGTAATATGGATTATTTTTAGTTATGGGTGTACAGGTTGCACAACTGTCTCTGTGATTTTGTTTGTGCCATCTTGTGTGTTTGCAGATTTTATTCATTTATTTCAATTTATATCCCGCCTTTGCCGGGGCAAACTGGCTCAAGGCGGCGTACACAGGTAAAATGTGGTAAAACAATAAATACAATAAAATTCACATAAACAACAATTTACATAGAGTGCTAATAATACTGATAGCGGCGGTTACTATACATGGTCCGATGAAGAGAGGCAATATCCAACGATGACCCATAGGGCTGTAGTATGTTCAGTTTCCGATGTCTCATTCATCAGTGGCGGCTCCTATTCAAAGGACTGGTGGAAGAGCTCCATTTTACAGGCCCTGTGGAACTGTAAAAGGTCCCACAGGGCCCTGATGTCCTCCGGGAGCTCATTCTACCAGTGTAGGGCCACCACTGAAAAGGCACTGGCTCTTGTGATGACCAGTCTGGCATATTTCGAGCCAGGGAGAGTCAGGCGATTTTGTGACCCTGACCTCAGTGCTCTCTGGGGCACATATGGGGAAAGGCAGTCCCTCAGGTAGGCAAGCCCCCGACCATATTGGGCTTTAAAGATCAGAACCAGCACTTTGAAACGAATCCGGTATGTTATTGGCAGCTAGTGCAGTGCCTTCAGCACAGGCTGGATATGATCTCGTATGGAGAGACCCATCACCAGCCTGGCTGCCGCATTTTGCATTAGCTGCAGCTTCCAGATTTGGGACAAGGGCAGCCCCATGTACAGAGCGTTGCAGTAGTCTAGTCTTGAGGTGACCATAGCGTGGATCAGTGTTGCCAGGTCACTGCGTTCGAGAAAGGGAACCAACTGCCTGATCAGCCGTAGGTGGTAAAAGGCTGACTTGGCAGTGGCTGCTACTTGGGCCTCCATTGTTAAGGCGGCATCCAGGAACACTCCCAAACTCCTGATCCTTGGCGCTGGCACCAATGGCATCCCATCGAAGGTCAGTAGTGGGATCCCTAACCCCGACCGACTCAGGCACAGGACCGCCATCTTCATTGGATTCAACTTCAGTCGGCTCAGTCTAAGCCAGCCCGTCATGTCTTGAAGTGCCCGCTCCAGGTCATCTGGGTTAGAGTCGGACTGACCGCCCAACAACAGATATAGCTGAGTTTCGTCTCCGAGCAATCTGGGCAAGGGGGCGCATGTAGATGTTAAATAACATTGGGGATAACACTGCCTCTTGAGGAACCCCGCAAACTAGAGGATACCTCTGGGACATCTGTTCCCCTAACGCCGCCCTCTGTCCCCGACCTTGGAGGAAGGAGACAAGCCATTGCAAGGCAAGCCCCTGAATCCCAGTCTTGGCGAGGCGGTGGATCAGTAACTGATGGTCGACCATGTCGAACGCCACTGACAGGTCCAACAACAACAGTACCACCATACCGCCTTGATCCAGATGCCTCCGAAGGTCATCTGTGAGGACGACCAGTACTGTCTCTGTCCCATGGCCTGGCCAAAAGCCGGACTGGAATGGGTCTAGCATGGAAGGGTCATCCATAAAGCTCTGCAACTGAATCGCCGCCGCTCTCTCAAGTAATTTGCCCAAATAAGGCAAATTGGAGACCGGCCGATAGTTGGCCAATTCAACCGGGTCCAAGGATGATTTTTTCAAGAGAGGGCAGACCATCGCTTCCTTGAGTGCCCCTGGGTACAGTCCCTCAAGGAAGGACTTGTTGATAATATCCCTGAGAGCACCTAGCAACCCCTCACGGCCGGCTTTTATGAGCCATGAAGGGCACGGATCAAGGCAGCACGTGGTTGGGTGTACCGTTGAGAACAATCTGTCAACTTCCTCAAGGCTGAGTGGACTGAAATAATCCAGAATAGAACCAGAAGACGTGCATGGGGCCTTGAGTTCACTCACTGTCTCAATTGTGGCAGGGAGATCACGACGGAACAACAGGACTTTATCTGCAAAATAGCTTGCAAAAGCCTCACAGTCAATTTCCAATTCCCTAGCTTTTGGTCTGCTCTGTGGCAGCTCTATTAATGACCAAATAGTTCTAAACAGTTGTGCTGGGCGTGAGCTAGCAGCCGCGTAGAACTCTCTCTTCGTAGCTTTGACTGCCATCTCATAGGATCTCATAAACATCCTATAGGATGCTCTTGTTGCTTTGTCACGAGCGCGCCACCACCGTCTCTCTAATCGTCTGAGCCCTCATTTCATCAGCCACAGCTCCTCAGTAAACCAAGGAGACTGCTTAGAGCGAGGGTGCAGAGGGCGTCGGGGAGCGATCTTGTCGATGGCAGCTGAGAGTCAGCCATGCCAGTCCTCAATTAGCTCATCTAACGAGCCGCCAGGGAGCATAGGATCCCATAGAGGCATCTGAAGCCGCTGAGGGTCCATTTGGCTCCGCGGGCGAGCTAAAATGTGCTTGCCGCCCAAACAGGGTTGAGGTGCCACATTCACGTGGGCCTTCAGGTCATGGTGGTCCGACCATGGAACCGCCATAGCAGAAATCTGGTCCACTGTGACCCCCCACTGCAAAGATCAAATCAAGCGTGTGACCGGGTCTGTGAGTGGGGGCTGTTACATATTGTGAGAGTCCTAGTGCCGCCATGGACGACACCAGGTCCACCGCCTGTGAAGAGGCCGCATCATCGGCATGGACATTGAAGGCGCCCAGGACTATCAGTCTAGGGTACGCCAATGTCCAGCCAGACACAGCGTCAACCAGGGATGACAGGCCATCGGCCGGTGCATTGAGCGGTCGGTACAGTAACCAAATAGCCAAACTCTCCCCAGCTTCCCACACAAGACTCTATGCCTGTGAGCCTCAATGGTGGGAGCGCCCTGAAGGAGTAAGCCTCCCGTATGAACAAAGCTACTCCCCCCCCCGCCCCTTAGTCCGTGACTGGTGGAGGACGGAGAACCCAGGTGGAACCAATTGGGAGAGCGCTACAGTCTCTCCATCTTGCACCCAGGTCTCCATCATACAAGCCAGATCTGCATTTTGCTCCAGCAGGCATAAGACTGCGGTCTTATTATTTACACAACATCAGTGTTGGAGAGGGGTCGTTAATCCTAGCCCCGCTGGCTGCCTCCTTTGGGTTGGGGCGCAGGCTGGAAGGTGGCTGAGCTTCTCTGTTTCTCTGTCCCCTTCATTTTCCGCCTGGCCCCACCGCTGTACTTTCCCCTCCCCAAGAGCACTGGTATACCCTGTCCCGTCATCGCCATTTGTTGATGGTCTTTGCATTTTAACTCTGTACTTACTGTCTTCTTACATACCTTGATTATAATTATATTTATAGTTTTCAGGCTGTGCTTTCGGCTCAGCGGCTATTTGGCAATATGAAACTCTCAAAGCAAAGTTCCAGAAGTATTTTGAAAACACTCAAACAGAATGGTTGGATAGGATGAAACTACGTACAGGGCTGGAAGTCAGAAGAGAGGTATGAGGAACTTGTTCTGTATAATAACACAAATTTTGTTCTTGTTGTGAAACCATATTAAAACACAGGTGCTCTGTGCTAACTGGTAAATCAGTTTTTCATTGTTGTGGAATGAGTTCATTGACACTGTCTGCTATGTCTTAATATCCAAGAGCTTTGCAAGACACCTGAATTTTTTTTGTGAATCACAAAGAAAACAATTTTGCTTTTTGTATAATAATGTATTGTATAAAGGGTTCTAAAAATTGCATGGATATTAAAATCATAAACAGAATGTTTATTTGACTTTTATAGCATTTTGTTTGCTGTATTTTGATTAACAAAATTTGAGTCCAGTGGCACCTTTAGGACCAACAAAGTTTAATTCAAGATATGAGCTTTTGTGTGCACGCTTATGTCTTGACTAAAACTTTGTTCCCACTGGACTCAAGCTTTGTTCTTCTGCTTCAGACCAACATGGCTACCCACCTGTATCTGTATTTTGATGATTAGCAGTTTCCAGCATGGCTGTACAACTGTAATAGGGTGCTTTTATTTTTCCTGCCTTGGCAGGGTACCTTGTGCAGTTTGTTTATTTATTTAGAAAATGTCTGTTCCACCTCCATGGAAGCTGCTGGAGATGGCTAACAAAATAAAGCATCATAAAAACACAACACAAGTTGTTAACAATTTAAAACCTAGCCAGGACATAAAAACAGTATAAAGCATTAAGTGGCATAAAAAGATTCCTCAGTACTGAATTGATGTACAGGATCCAGAACTGGCAGGGTTTTTTAACCATCCCCTTAGCTTTTTATATCTTCAGAATGTTCCTGATTTTAAAAAATCAAAAAAGAAAACAATATTCTCTTGTTTTCAGTCGATGTGGGCACTTAATAACTTTTCTTTCTCTCTTTAGGCATTTGGAGATGCCTCAGTGACATTATTTATTCTCTTATAAACCCAAACTATATCACAGCAGAATATTGCGTAGGTTGGAAAATTCTGATCACGGGCCAAATTGGTACATTTGATAGAGTTTGGCTTGATAGGAGATAAGATCATGTGGATCTCAAATGTAAAAGAAAATAAGATATTTCTTTAAAATTCTTTGATCTCTGGGATGGAGTCTGTACTTATTTCAAAAGCCATGTACAAGGATTTAAGAGACAGCCAACCAGGGTCTGTTGCCTTCAAGTGTGTGTGACTTTGACGAACAAGTACACAGGAAGCAAGAAATTACTCCATAGCAAATTAATCTCAAAAAGCATGGGGTTGCTCGGGTAGGGTTGCCATATCCCAGTCCCCCAAATCTGGATTGTTTAATGTGCATATTATGCAAATTGAGCATTTTTTGTTGGATGTCACCTGCTATTTGATTGCATCGTTTTACATTGTGTAATGTACTTTAAGCCTCAGTGCAAGAGATGGGCTATAGATAAATACTAGTTGTATTGTTTACCAGTTGCTCTGTCTCCACTTCTGGCATCTATCTCAAAGTTGGGGAAGGATCAAAAGAAACATCTTCTTACCTGTCTATGTGGTCATGCCAGGGTTTGCTCATGCTTTCTCCGTGGCCTAACTAGATCAGGAGGGGAGTTTGCCATTTGAGAGGGAAAATGAAGGTTTGGAGTTGCTACTCATAGGTTTACCTCAGACACCTGAAATACTAGACTCAATGGAAACTCACATGAGAAGGTTCTAGAAATAAATCATGAAAAGTCCATGAAGTAGAAAATCCAGGCAGAGCACAGAAATTGCTGCACATTGTCATATTGTAGCTTTGTCAGAAAGTATGGCTCTGACAAGCTTCCTTTTGAACCTGGGCATTTTTCTTCTTAGTTGGCACATGCAAGAGAGAAACAAAGCCGAATATTGTGGCTTCTCTTATATGTCAATTATTGCTATGATTTCCCTCATTGTCTGAAACAACAGAAATGACTAGATAATCAACAGAGAGCAACTGGTAGACTTACTTTTGTGCTTTAATAAACTAGAGAAGAACTATAGTGCAGTCATCCATTCAGGAAGAACATTTCTATATAGTTTTCTTTTGGGGAAAGTTTGGGATAAGAGTATTATTTGTGTAATGCTTAAATGCTTCTGTATGTTGAAAACTGAATAGTACGTGGCACATACACGTGTGTGCGTGTTTAATCCCTTGATGTGCTGGATAACTTGGGTGTCCAGATGATGCTTTTGCTCATTTTCTTTCAGATTAACCTGTGGTGGAAGTCACTGAGTGAAGGGCAACGTGCTGTCTCAGGTTTGTGTTAGCTTACAAGTATTAGACATTCTCGGGAAGAGAGATATGACAAACAGGTACAGTATGTCACTGGATGGCTGTTAAACCTAGGGCAGTCTTGCCTACCTACATGTTTATTTTGCTTCTCTAGGTATTTACTTTGGCATTTATATGCTGCTTTTGTCTCTGCTATGACCCCAAAGCAGCTCCCCCACAAATAGAATTTCAGCAAATATAAAAGGGAAACAAAAATATACAGCATGAATTCCAGGCTGGTCCTAGAACTGCTGGGGAGTTGATTCACAGCCATAAGCTGCAAGCCATGGGCTAAGAGACAAGACCAGGAGTCCTTTGGCTGCTGCTAAATGGCTTGTGCCTCTGACTTCGGCCAGACTTTTATTACCTTCAGGCAGGAGGGGGAGCAGAAGCTCAGCTTTAATGTTATACAGGTTCCTAAACATTCCTGGCATCTATCCTCTTTAAGATAATATTATGGACACATTTTATTTCACCTGCTAATTTCTGTGTGGTATGGTGGCATATTTGAGTCAGATTATTCCTGAAGGAGTATTACCTATCTGTTCAGATGGAATAAACCTGTCTTCTAGGGTACTTGTGTGGTTGTTGGTGCTGGAGTCAGTTGTGTACTTAGAAAGATGTGTGTATTACTTAGGATGCCACAAAGAATGTGCTTTATGCAGTTATTATATGTTTTTAATAAAGTCAGTAACTGAAAAAAATCAATATTTCAAGAAAAGTGTGATTACAGGATGTTTAAGACAGCCGATTTTTAGTTTTCCTCTTGTATTTTCTCAGCTGTTAGCTGGAAAATTCAAGGCTTTATCACAATCATGACTCAAATCTTTAGTTTTGTGTTTAATTTCTTAAAACTCTTATAATACTGAAAATAATCAGGTGCTGTTCTTTTTGATAAATTATGCGTAATGGTTTGCAAGAGACATAAATAAAATGTATTTCTTCATTTTGTGCATTTGGACATGAGAGCCTTAATAGAACAAAATGAAAGTGTATTTAAAAAATTTATTGTATTCAGATATTCCTGCTTAAATGCATTTTTTAAAATAGTCATTTTATGGTGATTGTATTTACAAGAGCTTATTAATTCTTGCACTATATATGTTGTAAAATGAATCCTTTTCCTGATTGTCTACTTTATCACTTTATCACTTAAATTTGTAGGCATTATAGCAGCAAATGTCTTAGTATTCTGCTTATGGCGGGTACCTGCTATGCAGCGGACAATGGTCACATATTTTACATCGAATCCAGCTTCTCGTAAGTGTAGTGTAATTATAGTGCATACACATTTTTGTAAATTGTGTTTTGTATTGGTTTTTGATTCACCCTTGCTTTGGCTGTATGATTTGGGGATTCAGTATCAAAGAAAGAGATTCAGCAATACACACAACTAGGGATGTGCATTCGGTTCGTCCAAACTGACTACACCCCCGAAAATGGCCCATTTGAGCCCCTTTCGGGCTGCTGTGGGCTGATTCAGATTCTCTGATCTGAATCTGCTTGCCGCCGAATTGCTGCCATTATATCCGCTGAATTGCCCCATTATATCCTATGGGCCATTGAAGTCAATGGCGAAAACATAGGGTATATTCTGGGGGCTGGAGGGGAGGGGGCTTGAGGGAGACGCTCCAGACTCGCAGGGTAGCTGCTGGAGCCTCTCCCCAAGATACCCACCAAGTTTCAAAAACATTGGACCAGGGGGTCCAATTCTACCTATAAAATAGTACCTGCACGGAGATATTGGTATAAGACCATAAAAGAAGCCATGTTGGATCAGGCCAATGGCCCATCCAGTCCAACACTCTGTGTCACACAGTGGCCAAAAACCAGGTGCTATCAGCAGGTCCACCAGTGGGGCCAGAACCCCAGAAGCCCTCCCACTGTTGTCCCACAAGCACCAAGAAAGTTGGGTATCACTGGCCCAGACAAAATGTTCCATCTATATCTTGTGGCTAATAGCCACTGAGGGACCTCTGCTCCATATGTTTATGTAATCCCCTCTTGAAGCTGTCTATACTTACAGCTGCCACCACTTCCTGTGGCAGTGAATTCCACATGTTAATTACTCTTTGGATGAAGAAATACTTCCTTTTATCTGTTCTAAACCTACTGCTTATTAATTTCATTGAGTGCCCACGAGATCTTGTATTGAGAGAAAGGGAGAAAAGTACTTCTTTCTCTACCTTCTTTATCCCATTCATAATTTTGTAAACCTCTATCACGTCACCCATCAGTCACTGTTTCTCCAAGTTATGGAGCCCCAAGCGCTTTAACCTTTCTTCATATGGAAAATGTTCCATCCCCTAATGATCATTTTAGTTGCCTTTTTCTGCACATTTTCCAATGCTGTAATATCTATTTTGAAGTGTGGTGACCAGAACTATACACAGTATTCCAAATGAGGCTGCACCGTCAATTTATACAGGGGCATTATGATAATGGTTGATTTGTTTTCAATTTCCTTCCCAATAATCCCCAGCATAGCATTGGCCTTTTTTATTGCCATCGCACACTGAGTTGACATTTTCAGTGAGTTATCTACCATCAGTCAGTTTGGTGTAGTGGTTAAGTGTGTGGACTCTAATCTGGGAGAACCAGATTTGATTTCCCACTCCTCCACTTACAGCTGCTGGATTACTTTGGACAAGCCATAGCTCTGTCAGAGCTGTCCTTGAAAGAGCAGTTCTCTCGGAGCTCTCTCAACCTCACCTACCTCACAGGGTGTCTGTTGTGGGGAGGGGAAGGGAAAGGAGTTTGTAAGCTGCTCTGAGACTCCAAGTGAAGGGCAGTCTCTTCTTCTTCATGACTCCAAGATCTCTCTCTTGGTTGGTCTCCACCAGTTCAGACCCCATCATCATGTATTTATAGTTACTGCCAGTTTAATGAATTGTCAAAATGAATATTTTATACATTTGAGACTGTTTCCTTGGCTTATGATGTATTGGCCAGGTTAGAATTGTGCATGTTAGGTATTCTTTTTTCACTTGAAAGTATGGAACTCTTCTTCAATGAACAATTCTTCAGCTGAAAAGGCAGATGTGTTGGAGACCCATGGCTTCAAAACTGGATAGATTAGTTTCCATGTCTGTGAAACACTGATTATCCAAACCTTTTTATGAGTTTGGACTCCTGGGTTCAGTCCCCAAAATACTGTGAAACAGATTCTAGTTCATATTTTAAAACAATAGTAAGAAGTTATCAGTCACAAGTAGCAGGATAGATTTTTTGAAGGAGGGATGGGTCATGATGACAGGTGCTTGTAAGGAAGATAAAGAAATGCCGCCTCCTTGTTTCTGCTTCTGAAGTGTAGCCAAGTATTTGAATTTTATGTGAGGGTTTTGGAAGAAATATAAGGAAGCTAATCCATCAGACTTTTAGTGGTCCATGTTCTTTCTAAAGAGTGTATGGTGTTATGGACAGTCAGTTAGTATGAAGCTTTTGAAACAATTTTTTTTTGTTTCTGTGCACACAATCAGACTCTCTTTACCCTAGGATTACCCTAATTTTGCAGAAACATATGCCATAGCCCCTGCGTTTTTTGATCTGCACAGGAGGGTCACCAATTGCTATTAAATGCATGATTAAAAAAACTGACACTCCACCCCTACTGTCATATAGGAGTTAGAATGCTGATCATATTTTATTTTAGATGGATAACACTGAATGGTTTTTGTGACACATGTACACTTTATCTTGTCAAGTTTTCTCCAACAGGTAAATTTATAAATTAAGAGTGAATATAGTATTAAAATGATCTGTTTCCCCCCTTTTACCTAGGAGTTTTGTGCTTTCCCATGGTGCTGTCTACCTTTAGCCATTTCTCATTTCTGCACATGGCAGCCAACATGTATGTTCTGTGGAGCTTTTCAACCAGTATAGTCTCTCTTCTGGGACGTGAGCAGTTCATGGCAGTATATTTCTCTGCTGGTAATAAACTCAGAAGCTTGGTTATATTTAGATGTTTAATTCTACCCTGCTACAAATTGCTTTAAATGTGACTGATTTTTAGAAAGTACTTTGTATTGTGTCTTTGGGAGGGGCTGTGGCTTAGTGGCAGAATGCCTGTTTTGCATGGAGAAGCAAAGGAAGGGGAGCCTTGAAAGTCTATAACATGCTTTGAAGTCTCAGAATAAGGAGATAAGGGAAAGGAAAGCATTTACTCTTCATGCAACTTTGAGATATGCTTATCACCTTGTACATACATTCAAGTCAAGCATGTCTCTGGAGAGGTAGCTTATAAACTTTCTAAATAATCATCTGTTAAAAATTGTTCCTCCTTAGAATAGCTTTAGTTGGGTAAATGAGAGGGATGGCTAGTACAGAGGAAAGGAATATTCAAGATCCTCGGGTTCCTCAGTGATGCTGTGTTTCCTAACTATATTCTAATTTTCTAGGTGTTGTTTCCACATTTGTAAGTTATGTCTGCAAAGTAGCCACAGGGAGGTTTGGACCATCACTTGGAGCTGTGAGTTCCACTTCTGAATTCAAGTTAATCTACCTGCTCTTCAGGAAGCATTTTGAGCATAGTGTGTTAAGCAGAAATAGGTATATTTGGGGGGAGCTGCCACAAGATACATTAATGAAATTTGGGGACTTTTCTGTAAATTGAATCCCAGCATCAAAAAAAAAAAGGATAGATAAGCGTTAGTTTTTAAAGTGACTTCATTGTGATGTCCTTTCATTCCAGTATGCACCTTTTAAGGTATTCACTAAAGGAATATTGTAGATAATTTAAAACTTGTGGTGCTTAGTTCTTTAGGTTTTGATCTTGCAGAAGTAGAACTGGTTAGGCCAGCTACATTGATGACCTAGACTTCCGCTATAAACTCTTACCTTGAATCAAGTTCCACTTGTTCGAATTACATATATTCATAGTAATTGTTACAGAGGGTTACAGTTTTACTGTTTGACTGATCCTGTGTATGCTTAGTCTGAATTGTCCCACCAAGGTCAAGGGGATTTACTCCAAAACAAGGCTGTGGTACTGTGAAAACCTAAGACTGAACTAAACTTGATGGGATTTACTAAGTAAAGTTGCATAGGATGAGGCTGCAAGGTGCATAGAGCTGTAGACTGAGTTGAGTTTAGAATCCAGTGGCACTTTTAAGACCAACAAAGATTTATTCAAGGTATACTTTGAATAAACCTTTGTTGGCTTTAAAGGTGCCACTGGATTCTAAATTTGTTCTACTGCTTCAAACCAACATGGCTGACCATCTGAGTTGAGTTTGTTAGTGTTGCAAATAATTTGGATATGTTCTAACTGCTTTTGTAGTTTCCATGACAGTGTTTTGATAGTGCATACATTTCTGGTGGTGGTGGAAAGTGCCACAAGTTGCTGCTGACTTGTGGCGCCCTTGTAGGGTTTTAGGTGGTTGACCATTGCCTGCCTCTGCATCATAAGCCTTGTATGCATTGGTGGTCTTCCATCCAAATACTAACCAGGGCTTACCCTGCTTAGCTTTTAAGATCTGACCGGATCAGGCTAGCTCGGGCTATCCAGGTCAGGGCAATTTCTGCCTGACCATTTTAGATCAAAGAAACTTTGTGTCTGAGTAAAGATACTGTGATTTCTTAAGCAATTTGGCTTAAACCCTTTCATTGAAATAATTCATTTGAAACTTCTGTGGAAGGCTGCAGTGTTTGGGGACTTTAAAGCTAGTATACCTAGGCTCCTGCTGCATCCTTTCCCCATCTTACATATGTTCTAACTTCTTGGACCTGGAATAGGAGTTGGTATATCTCTGTTCGAAAAATTAGAAGTTAATATACTTGTCTGAGGTTGTAAAGTAATAGTATTAGGTCATGTGGTAATGCTCTTAATTTAACTTGTATTTTAATATAATTCTAGTCGGGCGCTATAATGACCATCCTTGCAGCTGTATGTACAAAGATGCCAGAAGCCAAGCTCGCTATAATATTTCTTCCAATGTTCACATTTACAGCTGGAAATGTAAGTATCCGTTGGAGTCCACCTTTCTTTTTTCTGCCTATCAGCAAGCTGAGCACACTTCTGTTTTATCAGTATTTCAAAACTGCATGCAATTTAAAAGTTAATTCAGCTCAAGAGACACATTCACTGTTGCACTGTGTTCTGTTACAGTAATGAACAATGTATAGTTGCATTACATTGTGGCATTTCACTTCTGAGGAGGCAGAATTATGACATTTCTAGCTGTTTAGTTAGATTTTATTGCTAAAAGTGTGGGCCAGGATCCAAAGCCCTACTTTGGGTATGACAATCTGCATGGAGTTGGACTATGAACAGTGGATCCCCTTGCCATATCGTAAACTGCGTTTGAATGTTTCCCTCCTTTATCCTCTCACCTCAGTATCAATGTCCTAGTAGCAGAGATTTAATATTTTAAAATGATACTTTTTAAAACAGCCATTGGAGGAAAAAGTTTAAAATATATAGGGGCTCTTTCAAAAGTTAACTAATGGCAGCTTTGGTACAATTTTAATATTCCAATTGTGGGTTGTAGGTTTTCTGGCATAGTTTGGCTGACCAAATGCTGTACTTTCCACAATAAAAACATAACTCTTTAATCTGCTAAAATTGACATATATTTTGTCATGCATCTAGGACTTAGTTTGAGGGCTTTTGATTGCTTGGCCCTGTTGCCCTAATTGTGATACATCTTGTTGCTAGTTATTCCCCCCCCCTCAACTGTTCCTGTTTAACCTGTGGTGAGTTAAGGCTTGGAGAAAATGATGTGCTGAGCCCACTGAGGTAGAAACCAAGGCCATAGTAACTAGGATCCAGCCCAAATCCAAGTACAGCCCTCACTCTTACTCTTCATAAGATTATTCATGGGATGGAGAATAGAAAGAGCTGTTTCCCTTTTCCAGTAATAGTAGAAAAACTCAAGACACCCTATGAGGTTGGTGGGTGATAAATGCAGGACAAACAAAAGGAAATACTTCTTCACTCAACGAGTGATTACATTGTGGAATTTACTGCCAGTAGATGGTAGTGATGGCCATGAGAGACATCCAGCTGTCCTCAAGCAGAGCCAGGGCTTTCTCTGCCCTGGCTCCAACCTGGTGGAACTCCCTACCAAACAACACCCATGCCCTGCAGGACTTGTTACAGTTCTGCAGGGCCTGCAAGGCAGAGATGTTCCGACAGGTATTCAGTTGAGGACAGTAAGGGTTCCATCTTGGCACTCAACCCCCCCCCCCCCCCGGGGGAAAGGGGGCTTACTGGGGTTTTTACTGGGGTTTGTTGCACCATCTCCACTTGCTTTCTGTTTGTTACTGGTTTAATGTGTTCTTAATTGATGTTTTTTTACTATGTTGTACACTGCTCTGAGCCTGGCATGCAGGGGGAGGGTGGGTGGAAAATCCAAATAAAATAAATAATGATCATGGATGGCTTTAAAAGAGGGTCAGACAGTGCTAAGAGGCAACATCAGGAAAAGGCCTTGGCCTCTGTGCCCTGTTTGTTGGCCCTACAGGGCAACTGGTTGCCTGCTGTGTGAAACGTTATGATGGACTATGGACCACTGGTCTGACACAGCAGGAATCTTTATGTTCTTAAAGGCTGTTGCCTATGCATGGCGGAAGAGACTGTTTTATGAGGAATGTTTCATAGTTTTCCTGTTTTTGACCTACTGAAACACAAGCTTAATTTTGTTGATGTCTGTTGGAGTCTTACCAATGCCATGTTGTTTACTTACTTCTAGGCTCTAAAAGCCATTATTGCAATGGACAGTGCAGGACTTGTTTTTGGTTGGAAGTTTTTTGATCATGCTGCTCACCTTGGGGGAGCTCTGTTTGGCATGTAAGTTTTTTTTATATACTATATTACTATGGCAGTGTAACACTACTTCATATTGAAAATACTGCAGAAAAATATAGCAGTTCTTACGTTACAGACACTGCATTATTGCTGAGATGAGTTTTCAGCCAGTGACCTCATGTTATTTATCTGTTAAATATTTGTTACATCTGTTATGTATCACATGATGGAATTTCAGCTGTGTTTTTATTGCTTTAAGGTGGTATGTAACATATGGAAATGAACTTATTTGGAAGAACAGAGAACCACTAGTGAAGGCTTGGCATAACATAAGGACTGGGAGTTCAAAGAAGTGAGTCACGGATGCTGAATTTTAGAAGATGCTGAAACAGCCGCAGCGTACTACTGAAAGTGGACTAGTTATTGTGCTGCCACCCAATATTAGGGGTTGGGATCTTTAGTTTCTAATGTGGCAGCCCACACTTGAAAATAATTGCATTTGGTAGTAAATGTGGCAGAACTGAAACAATAAAGATTTACCTTATTGCTTTATGAAGTGAGCCGATTATCATTTTCTGGACTATTTTGGAGTTCCCTTGCTTGGATCAATGGCCCAGTGGTTTAATTTTATTTTTTATCACAAGATAAAACAGTTGTAAATAATAATCATATTAGTGTCAAACTTGCAGAGCAATTGTAACATTACAAAACATGGCATCTCGTGACTGCAAATGGGCATATTGAATTACTGGCATACAGTGCTAAAAAGAATTTTTCTAGACACACCTTTGTTATGAAAGAATTCTGGTTCATGTTTTATTGTTTTCCTCATCCTCGTCTTACTCTTCTGCATGGTGTGTGTTTGACTTGAGTAGTGGCTTCTGTACTATAACTTATAGCCACACATTTATAAAGGCCTAATGTGGGCTGAGGAGCTGCGGTGGCTCAAGTGGTTAAGATGCTGAATTGCAGGCTGTGGAAGGTCAGTAGTTCAGCAGTTCGAGACCCGGGTGCCGCATGATGGAGTGAGCTCCCATCTCTAGTTCCAGCTCCTGCCAACCTAGCAGTTCGAAAGCAAGAAATTGCAAGTAGATAAATAGGTACCACTTCGGTGGAAAGGTAACAGCGTTCTGTGCGCCTTGGTGTTTAGTCATGCCAGCCACATGACCACGGAAACGTCTTCGGACAGCGCTGGCTCTTCGGCTTTGAAACGGAAATGAGCACCGCAACCCTAGAGTCGGATTCGACTGGCTTTCGAGCAAGGGAACCTTTACCTTTTTTAAAATTTATTTTGTTTGTTTGTTTAAACTGTTACATTGAGTATTTATATTTATTTACATTTTCTCCCCTTCCTTCCTTCCTTCCTTCCTTCCTTCCTTCCTTCCTTCCTTCCTTCCTTCCTTCCTTCCTTCC